TCCTAGGGAGATAGAAGGTTTTATCCCCATTTTACAGATAAGAAAAGCAACTCAGAAAGATTAAATGTTTACCTTTGACCCAGGGCTGACCCCAATGACCCAACTTGATTATCATCCTGCTCAAATGTTCATAAAGCAGGCTAACAGCAAAAATATTGAAATCATTTAACCTGGGTGCCAGTGTCAACTGCCATCCAGAGAAATAATCACAGGCCTGAAACTAAGCTCTTTAAGTCTCAAAGTCACCTCTGGGAATAATATTGGTCTTACACAGAGTTGCTGGGATGACACAATGATATGTAATTTTTGTAAAAATACAAGGTAGTGGATTCTCACACAACATTACCTCAGTAGGTGCGAAAAAGAAACAGATAGCCGGGATTAGGTATTATACAACTTTCTGGACTGTTTCACTTATTATGATTGATATTATTTTTATAATTTACAAATGTAAGGAAAAGTATAAAATAATTTATAAATGCTGTTATATAACTGTATGACATCTATTATTCTAACCAAACCAATTCTTTCAGAGACACAAAACAGGTTAAACAGACAGAAAAACTTCCCATTAACAGGTTATTATTCTTTTTGAAAGTTAAATGTTTCCTAACTGTTGGTTACTAGCGGAAAATTTTAAGGTAGAAAAATTGAGGACAATACTAATGTAAATATAAATACAGAGAAATGATTAATAGAATGTCCCTACTTTTATTTTCTCATACTTAGTTCTCAGAGGAACTTATAGAACTAACGTAACAAATTTCAAGTGTTTTGGAAAAAAACTTTTTAAGCTATACAAGGCAGATTGAGGGCCTACATAACAGTTTCTCATTTTTAAAAACTCCTTTTAAACAAGGCTTGTTTTTAAAATACTTTCTTTAATAAAATAGAATTTTCTCTGAACATTTCTACCATTTTTACCATTAGTAAGTTATTTCGCACAAATAAACTTCTTTAGATGAAAAAATGGGATTATTTTGTTAATCTTTACCCACCGTATGCTTTGAGGAAAATAGCTGGCATCCTTCCAGCTCAGATCCATGTGGACAAAGTGTAACATAAGCAGGTTGGTATAAACACTGAAAAGATCTTGTATGCCCACAAATATCTGAATCACTCCACTGTAAGATGGTATTTCAGAGAAGGAAGAAAAATTCTCTTTCATACACATATTAGAGGGCTTTCCACTGGTTTTTGTTAAGGCCACAAATGGAAAAAACTACTACTGACAGAAAAAGCACACAACATGTGGTATCAAGGACACACTGCCCAAGTACTAAGTGAAGCAACTGAATTTTTAAAAAACCACTTTTCAAGCATTTTGGCAACTGGAGTAAAAGTCATTTTTCCTATCAGTGGGTAATCTAAGTAAGAATCTTATTCCTCAATTAAATTTACATAAATTTATCCTGAATACATAAATTTCCTTATAAAGAATACTGTATTTTCATGTGAAACACATAGATTAAATCTAAAATTTCATTTTTTTTCTCTACTAGTGAGCAAAATACTATAAATAAAACATTTAATGGCACCTTCAACTTGTTGAACTACACACCATATAACTTAGATGATTACTGACTGTGTATTTTTGCTAGGCTTTTAAAAGCAAAATATATTAAAGTTGCATCTCCTGGCTTGAAGTAACTATCAATATAGGTTTAAAATTCAATTATTTTTATTAAATACAAAATTATATATAAAAGGGCAATATAAGATGAACTTATTTGCAAAGCAGAAATAGAGACACAGAAGTGGAGAACAAACATTCGGACACCAAGCAGGGAAGAGGGTGGTGGGATGAACTGGGAGACTGGGGATGCCACATATACACTGCTGTGTAGAAAATAAACAGATAATGAGAACCCACAGGGACTTCTACTCAGTGCTCTGTGGTCTAAATGGGAAGGAAATCTAAAAAACAGAGTATATGTAGAATTGATTCACTTTGTTGTACAGGAGAAACTAACACAATATTGTAAAGCAACTATACTCTAATAAAAATTAATAAAAAATGAAAAAACAATATAAAGAACCACAATATCTTACCGAAAAGCAAAGACATATGAAAGAAAACACTAACACCAGCACCAAACCTTCAAAAATAATTTGCCAATTTAATGGGGAAAAAACCCAATAATGTAAAAATGACTATGATGTTTTAGTTAAGTTTAAAATTTAAAATTCATGAATAGCAGTTCAATATCCTAACAAGTAAGATAATACTGTTTTATAGCTATGACATCACTCAAGAATTAAAGTCTTGGCAACATCTACCATCGTGGTCTACTGTAGGCTATGATATGTACGTCTGAACAATTTTTGTATACTAAAGAGCAAATGATAAACGCAGTACCACAGGCTACTCATCTTAAATAAAACTTTCTTTCAAAAGCCAGTTTGATTTTGGCAGTGGGATGCTTAGAAGCACCCCAAGAAGCAGGGTAGTGTAGGATGTGAATGGGGCTCCAAAGTTACTGCAGGTCAACTGTGATTTGATCTGGGGTTTTCTTTATAGACTCCTGGCCAAACCAAGACTGGATTCCTAGGCCTAAAGACAAATCAGAACCAAGCTGGCCTCGAACTGGATGCTGGAGCTCTTTTAAATTGATCGAAAAACCTCCTGAACATTATCTATTTAGGAACAGAAACTTTATTTCCTGGTCTTGCAAAACAGATGATCTAGATTTCAATCAGGTTTCTTTTGCAGAAAAAAAGAAATTCAAATGTTTAGAACCATTATCATCTTGTTCCATGACAATGTCTATCTCATAAAAAGCAAAGACCTTAGATTATAAAATTAAAAGGTAGTAATCCACAAAAAATAAACTAGAACGTCAGGAACCAATTTCTTTTTTTTTTAATCCTCTAAACCTAGTGGGAAAAGTAAGTGAGCCAGAAGGAGTGCCAAGTTCTCCTGTGAGGCATTAGGCACGGACACCAATTTGAATTACTGTACAAACTCTACAGAGTCCCTGGAATCACTGCTTGGCGAACCAAGTTCCCATTCCATTGCAAGGCACCACGACCTACTCCTTAATACTTTTCCAACTCTACCGTGTGTATCTTCTCAGACAATATTTTAAATCTTCCCATTCTTTGGGCTAAAGAGTAACATTTAATCTAATGACCCAGTAAGAAAGACACTACCCTGGTCAGATTTTTAGGCTTTTTCTTTATAAATCAATCTGAAGGCAGGTAACTCTTAACCGGTATACGCATTAGGATTCCTGGTCCTAAGACTCTTTGGAAAGATGAGAGGGAAGTAAAAGAGTGTGCGCAAAGACGCTTATTAAGTGGAAAAGCAAAAGATTAGCTAAGAGAGGCAGGTCTCAGAAAAGTGAAGGTCGGAACGTAAGACAGGTTGTTACAACAAGATGGGGAAGGGCAAGACTCGAGGAAGAAGATTGAAAAAAAAAAGTCTACCCCTCCGAACTCAGGAGGAGAGTTGCAATCCCAAGGGCAGGAACCCGAGAGCGCAGGTGGGGAGGGAGGGGTGCTGGCCTCCTCCAAGAAGGGAAGAGTTAAAGTGAACCCAGATAAGTGAGGGGGAAGAAAAAGCAAGACTCTTTTAACATCCAACCTGTCTGAAATCATAAAGAGGGTGGGAGGACGCCAAGGAAGCTTGGGGAACGCGAGCCCCAAGTGGGCAGAAGGAACCCCCCACCTCCCGCCCCCGAGAAAGCAAAGACTCCAGCGGCGCCGAGGAGAACCCGTGCGTTCCTCCCCGGGCTGCGCTCTCGGAGATTACCTACCTTTGAGTTGGGGCAAGGGGTGCAGCTCCGGCTGGTTGCACTGGCAGCGGAACTGCGACGAGCCCTGCGAGCGCTTCTGCCTCTGCGCCTTGCGCACCGATTTCCGGGTGAAGCCGTCCACTTTCTCGGCGGCCGAGATGGCGGCGCTGGCAGCCCCCGCCGGCGGCGGCGGCGGCGGCGACGACGACGACATCTCCGCGGCCCTGGCGCTTGGCAGCTCGGGCTGCTGCTTGCACGGAACGGGCAGCGGCAGGAGGAGGAGGCGGGGGAGAGGCGCCGAGGAGCTCGCGCCCCTCCGCCCCGTGCCCCCCGGCCGCACCGCCCTCCCGCTCCCGGGTGCCCGCCGAGCTCTCTCCTCGCCGCCCGCCGACGCCTCACGGCCACATCTCAGGGCCGGAGGTTCCCGGTCCCCGCCGCTCGGCGAGCTCCCCGGGGCTGGCGGGGGCGGAGGGGGGGTGGTGTGTGAAGAAGTTGTTGACTCCCGAGTTCCGAGGGCGGGTGCACAGGAGCCCGAAGTTCAGACAACTGAGGCGAGGGCGCGAGGGCGCGGACGTCGAACGCGCCTCTCGTCCCTGGCGGCCCGGGTCCCCGGCCGGCCGGCCCGCCAGCACCTCAGTGGCCGCTGCCAGGGCAGCCCGCCCTGCCTCGAGCCTCCTCCCGAGGCGCTGCCATCGCGGGGCCCTCCGAGCTGCTGTCTCCACCGCCGGCGCTCTTCCCTGTCAGCGCCGACCCCTCATCTCCCGGGGCGGTGACCCGCTGCCCCGGCCCCGGGCGCGCGCACACACACACACACACTCGCTCCTCGAAGCGCCCAGCGGTCCGAACCCCCTCCCCCACGCGCCCTTCCGCCGCCCACAGAGAACCCCTGGCGAGCGGCCGCTACAACTTGAGAAGGTGCTGGGAGAGGAGAGGGGCGGGCGGCTGTAGGGGGAGTGCGAGCGTGTGCGCGCGCGCGCGTTTGGGGCGCGCAGGCCGGGGGCGGGGCCTCGGGGGGGATGGGGAGGGAAGAGATTGACTGACAACTTCCGAGGGGTCCGGCCAGCCTCTCGGAAGCTAGGGAAGGAGTTGCGGGGTGGGGGGTAGGAAAGCATGCCAGCTCCCTCAACCAATCGCAGGGCGAAGCGGCCCAAAGGGTTGAGGCGTGGCCTCCTGCAAGGTCTTATCAAACTGGGAGGTCGGGCGGAGCGAGGGGGGCGTGGTTACGTGATGGACCTCGGCCACAGCCAATCGTAAGTGAAAACGGCTTAGCGGAGTGCCCCTCTTACGTCACAACGCGTAACTCTTGAAGTCTTGAGGGGAAGTGCCGCTCCAGCAGCGAGCGTAAGTGCACGCCTGCGCGACAGCTCTAGGCGATGGGTACGTGGACAGCCTATGAGGAGACCGGGAAACTAGAGTAGGGAGTTTAGAGAGCAAAAGGGAAGGCTCGTACCCTTTCCTCCCCTCTCTGCTGGCCAATAAGGAGCTGAAGCGACTGGTGGGGAGCTTGAGGGCGGGAGCGCGAAGGCGTGCCAAGTGTTACGTCACTGGAAAGAGGTGGAGCAACAAGCCGTGTGATTGATGGCTGAAGTCGCCCCGAGGAGGAAGGCGAGGAAATGAGCTTGTCCAATGGGAGAGAGATGCTGGACTCTTGGGCGGGCTTTGGAGCCTCTCTGGCCCTAAGCCGCGCACTTGGAAGTTACCGGATAAATTTACAGCTCTCTGAAGGTTCTGGCAGCGCAGTTCCTGAGAGCTGTTTTAGCGCGAGTTCGGACTGTCTGGTGCCTACTACTTCATACCCTTTCCCAAATCCACATCCTCCAAGAAGAGGTTTCTCATTCCCAATTTAACATCCTACTAATTTTCCCTTTTCTTCAGCCGGAGACCTTGAACTGCTTCTACAGGACGAGTATGAATTCGCTGATCAGAAGTTTGTAGATTTGAGGACTGGCCGTTTACTCTTACTAGGATATCTTACAGGTTCCATCCAGATTTTAAACTTCTTAAAGACCGGAAATGCTGGTCATCTTAGTTTTTTGTCCGGTGCTTTCTGTATAATGATGCCTAATAAAAACAAGTGAACTGCACAGCTTGTCTTGTCTTTGGCTTAGTGGACCCCAATCTCCATTTCTCTTCCACCAGCCCCAGATCTTTTCCTTTCGACATGCTAAAAATAGCTGCCATATATTTAAGCAACACTACCTGATGCACAGGTAAAGAAGGTGGTAGGAAGTTGAATTCTAGATCTAGAATCAAATGCTACCTTAAAATATTTCCCTCCTTATATTCAATGAGTAGTGATATTGAACACAAGCGTCCTAGTCAAGGAGGTTCAAACTTCAGCAGTGTCTTAGACTTCTTTCTCATCCAATCAAGCTCCAGACTGTGTTGAATCTATCTTAACAAACGTTCAAACCAAGCTTTCCTTGCAATTTGCTTAACCGATTCCCAAATATAGTTCAGGGCTTTCAAACTCACTGCCAGATAAGTCTTTTTAAATGCCACATTTATTTTATTGGCACGTGTGAAGAACCATCCAGTACCTCTGGAGTAAAGTCCCAATTCCAGGTTCTCCTCGTTCTAACTCGTGGATGTCTTTCCGGGCATAAATTGTGCCATGTCTCTACACAAACTCTTTTTTCAGTTTAGACACATCATTCTACATACTGATATCCTAGAAGCAGATTCCTTGACCATCACTAGCTCTAATATCTTGAAATAATCCACTCTCCCCCCGCCCCCATCGTTTTGAGGCCCATCTTTTCTTCAAATCTTAGCTCAACCCCTATCTTTCCTGAAGCCTTTCATGATAATCTGAGTCAAAGTGATGCCTTTCTTCTTTGCATTCCTAAAGCATCTATTGGGGCTTCCCTGGTGACTCAAACGGTAAAGAACGGCCTGCGATGTGGGAGACCTGGGTTCGATCCCTAGGTTAGGAAGATCCCCTGGAGGAGAGCATGGCAACCCACTCCAGTAGTCATGTTTGGAGAACCCACATGGACAGAGGAACCTGGCGGGCTACAGCCCATGGGGTCGCAAAGAGCTAGACACGACTGAGCGACTAAGCACAAAGCATTTATCACCTACACCACTCACAAAGTCTGTCCTCATACGAGGTCAGAGATTGCAGGTACTATGCTCTTTCTTCCCTGGATGTTTGTAAACATCGAAAGAATAAGGGACCTCCGGTGGTCCAGTGGTAAACAATCTGCCTGCCAGTGCAGGGGACGTTTCATCCCTGGTCCGGGAAGATCCTACGTGCCACAGAGCAACTCAGCCTGGACACTGCTATGACTGAGGCCACAAGCCTAGAGCCTGTGCTCTGCCACAAGAGAAGCCACCTCAGTGAGAAGCCCAAGCGCTGCAAGTAGAGAGTAGCCCCCATTTTCTGCAGCTAGCAAAAGCCTGCGTCCAGCAATGAAGACCCAGCACAGCCAAAAAGAAATTAATAAATGAAATTAATAAAAAAAGAGTAAGAACTCGCTTATTTTATACCTTTGTATCTCTTACTGAACAAAGTATAAATATGCAGTATCTACCAATCTAATTTTTATTTCTCAAGAACAAGGTTTCTAAAACTATATTCATTGGATTACCTGCATAAGAATCCTCTGAGGGGCTTATTTAAAATGCAGACTCCTGGGCCTGACACACAGAATTCTTCCAGACACACAGAATCAGAACCGAAGGGAAAAGCACTAACATATCTTTTTTTTTTTTTTTTTTTGCCGCATGGCATAACAAGTGGGATCTTAGTTCCCCAAGCAGAGGTTGAACCTGCGTGCCCTGCATTGGAAGCACAGAGTCTTAACCACTGGACTGCCAAGGAAGTCCCCTGAGAAATATATTTTTACTAAGTTTCCTAGGTCACTCTTATGCACGTGAATGTTTGAAACTCTATTCTCTAGCCACCTGGATGTTATTTAAAATAGATCATAAATGTCCAGAATTTGTAATAAAGAGAATTTGCATAGGCTAAGAAGGGGAAATAGATAGCAGAAAGCACACCAACAAAGGTAAAATTCATACTGGAATATGACATATAATAAATAATGGAAAATAGAGACTGAACAGAACAGTTAGAAAATAGATACTGGAAACAAAATTCTTGGGAGGCTTGGAACCAGCAAAACTGTCTGGGTTTTCTGAAACAGCCTCTTGGAGAAGAATTTCGAGAAAAATTTTAAAGAAAGTGTGAGTCAAAACTGAAGAAGAGAGCAAGATGGCATTCTAGATTCAAGTTACCAAACATTTTGGGTGGGATGGAAAGGACTACAGCCAAAGACTCAAAAGGCCTGACTTTGTTAATTATAGTATGGTCCCATCAAGTCACTTACCCTTTCAGAGGTTTGATTTCCACATTTTTATGTCAGAAAAAAAAAGTAACCAGCCTTCTTTACAATATTGGCATGAGTTTTAAATATGATGCATAAAATAACAACACTTGGAAAAGTGAATATCATGCACTTGATAATTTTATGAACATATGTATGAACACATGTATTATCATGTGCATGATATTAATCACTTCTCTTCCATGCACTGTCTTAAGTAAATAAGGTATCTGAGTCATAAACAGATTCGGTCCCTAAGAATCATCTAACAGAAAATCGCAATCTCAGTGCTGAACTGTTTGTACCCCTGACAAGCAAGAGTGTCAGCGATGATTCCATGCTGTAGAACTCCTGTTTTTCCCCATATTTGAAGACCCATATGTAAGTCAGAGGCCAAGACTTCATCACTGGCAAATTCTTTGCTTTACTTTATCCTTACATGACTTGATTTCTTTACTGATTTCATTCTTTTATTCACAATGACTAGCTTGCTGGGGAAAATAAGCAAGGAGATCAAATCAGTCAATCCTAAAGGAGATCAGTCCTGAATATTCATTAGAAGGACTGATGCTGAAGCTGAAGCTCCACTTTGGTCACATGATGCAAAGAACTGACTCACTGGAAAAGACCTTGATGGTGGAAAAGATTGAAGGCAGGAAGACAAGGGGATGACAGAGGATGAGATGGTTGGATGGCATCACCGACTCGATGCACATGAGTTTGAGCAAACTCCAGGAGTTGGTGATGGACAGGAAAGCCTGGCATGCTGCAGTCCATGGAGCTGCAGAGTCGGACATGATTGAGCGACTGAACTGAATGAGATGACAATATCTACGATAGCAAAATCATGGTCTTTTAATGGTTTAAAGTGTGCATTAGAGGAAAAAACATTCCAGCAACTCTGATGGCTAAGCATATTATTTATGCTTTAAATTTCAAGAATACTAGAAGAAATTTTTTTTAAGAGTGCATCAGAGACAGTATTATGTTCAAATCACTGTGAAATTCTGTAAAGCATGTCCAAGCAAAGTTTTGGCTGCCAACATTTCTCTTTCCTTAAGATGATTCCCAAACGGTACTCCTATAGAACGCCAAACAAATATGCTTTATCTGAAAATCAAATAGTAGTGATCTTTTCCCAATTTACAGAAACAAAATAAACTTTTTCCTTGTATCTTTCTTAGAATTTTTATTCATACAACTGTGCTATTGTACTTGAATCTAAATCAAGATAGTATCATAAAACATTAATTTTTAATATATCATTCCTTCTTATTTAAATACATTTAAATTATGTAAAATTCCCTTCCTGGGAGGCAATCAATGCTATCAGATTCTTTTATGTGCTTCTAGAGATAGAATCAGTTTACTCTCTTAAGATTTAATAAATTGACATTTTTAGAGGCTCCACCAAAAGCTACATGATTTATAGATATTTCATCACTGAAGATGGAGTAGGAAATGGCAATCTACTCCAATATTCTTGCCAGGAAAATTCCATGGACAGTGGAGCCTGGCGGGCTACAGTGCATGGGCTTGCAGAGTTGGACACGACTGATCAGCTGAGCACGCATCACTGAAGAAGTTTGAAAACCACCACTCTATACTTCAGTGAAGCTTCCAGAGTTCTTACAGATTTATTCATATCTATGCATTCATTCTTTCATCATTTTATCAATTCACTCATGTTACAGATATTATACATGCATGCTATGAATCAACAAAATATGAAATTTGAAGGGACCTTAAATGCTAATCAGGTCAAGTTGTTACCTGACCCCAGGTAGATCAAGCAGGTCCTCCTCTCAGACCTCAAACTGATCCAAACTGGAAAGTCCTTTTTTTTTCCCCCCAGGACTTACAGAAGACTTTTATTTCTTATACAATGAAATCTTCTGACTAATAACTTACTCGCCAAGTGGTCAAAGATTTTGGGCACTTGGTTTTCATAAACTAAATTCAGCACTTTTTAGATTTTTTTCCCAAGAACTCTGATTCTGTGTTGTCTTTCTGGCCACTGTTCAAACACAAGTGCACACTGAGACAAATGGAATTTCAGCAATTTTCAGGAAGGACCCTTTGTCAACAGGGCAAGATCAGTAGTCATGGTTTTTAGTTGATGCCATTTTTGCTATAAATTGCTGTCAGTTAAGCTTGTCATGATTAAATAAGTTTGTTGTGGGCTATTGTACAGGCTATTGTGTTGGCCAACCAAGAACCCAGACTAGGTCAGTAGCTGTAGAGATGATTAGATTGGAGATTTATCTTAGCGGAGGATTACATAGGACTTTCAGAAGGAATGAATGTGAGCTGCTGGTACAGCAGAGGTATTACTAATTCCCCCAAAATATTTGTTGGTACACTTACACTTTATGATTATCTCTGAATCCTTTTCCCATAGCTGTGAGGTCTTTTGCCCCATCTAAGTGGGCTGAGTCGAAAATACTGGATAACCCCTGATGTGGGCGATACTTTACCTGTATACTAGATGAGGAACTAGAATAGTTTGAAGGAGCTCAGCTCATGACATATCTTTTCATCTTTGCAGAGTGGGGTTTAAAAGACCGATATTGGTGAACTCAACCCCGCAAGTATTTTCAAGTGCCATCCATGTGCCAGGCAATATGCCAGACACTAGGAATGAAAAGATAAATGAAGCAAGGACCTTTCAATTTAGTGAGGAGGGATAGCACAAACAAATGATCAAAGAGTATATCCTAAGTGTTCCTTACAGCGCTGTGTAAACACAGTGG